TCATCCTCATCACCATAATCCATGGCTTAGTGAGCAGATGGTTGGAAAAACACAGGTGTGTGAGCAGGCATCCATGTGTGCTCCCCACATGTGAAGCACTTGTTTGCTGCTTTGTCAAATGCACACTGTGTTCATTCAGAATGATGGCAGAGATAGTTAATCAGGCCAGGTACCTTGCCCTCTGTTTCTGTCTCTCTCTCTCTCTCTCTCTCATACACAAACACACTCTTCCTGGGTCTATGCCAGGACCTGTGCATATGCGGCAACAGCTGTTTCTCCGGACCTCATACATTAACAGGACTGCACAATCAGAGTGCCATCAGCAGCTGTACTATCTACATGAAGGGATTTCTCTTCTCATGTCTGTTATAATTGCAACCATCTGCTTTGTATTTTTTAGCTTCTTAACATTCCTGATGCATGTCCTTAAGTAGTGTAATAAATAAAAATAATATCCCTCTTTTATTTCTTCCTGGCCTTTTAAACACTCCGGTACAACATCTCGTTAAATTCACTCAACAAAACTAACATCATGTACCTGACTTTCCTGCTCTTTACTTTCCATTAACTCTGATATAAAATGATTTACCACAGACATTAAACTAACACTAAATTTGACAAAAATACCTGGAATTAGATGTAGTACAAAATTATGCCTTAGCGAGAGGCTCGTGACAGCTGCAGAGCATGCAGGAGTTTATGCAAGGCTTGTTATTGCTCATGCAGTGTGATGATGACATGAAGTACAGCGGGTCATTTAAAAGGTCAAACATTTAACAGTTTGGTTTAGACGCAGGGGGCTTGCAAAAAGACAACGTGGATCTGACAGCTGTGTGATAAGCGTCCAAAAGCTTTAGAAAATTGGAAGCAGACCCATCACACCAACTGTTCAAAGTCCTCCTCTCCAGTAGGGGATACAGAGCTCAAGTACATCAAAAAGCGGACAAAAAAATTGTTTCTGTTCTCAGGCAGTTATGGTGAACATTTAAAGGTCACATAATTATTATACTCTTTTTCAAGAAGTTTCAATAAGTCTCTGAGCTCCTACATGTCTGTGAAGTTTCTTGCCATAAATCCACTCTGAGCCTGTATTTAACATGTCTATAAGCCCCTCTATTTCAGCTCTGTTCAGAACAGGCTGTTTCTGTGTCTGTAGCTTTAAATGCAAATGAGCTGTGTTCGACCACACCCCTCTCTGGAAGGGCTTGGTAGGCTCGACCTTTCTCGCACCATGCCCTATTGTTTACAGTGAGAATGCAGACTCAGAGGACAAGACAATAACCTATCTGTGGGAGTGTCACCCACCTGGGGGAGGGGTTACTGCCCTTTGTGATGTAATGAAGGTAAAATCTCCAAACGGCCTGTTTGAGCACACATTTTTACTAAAAATTGGAGCAGTGGCTGGTGGTGCAGTGGTTAGTGCGCGCGCCCCATGAATGGAGGCTACAGTCCTCAAAGCAGGAGACCTAGGTTCAAATCCCACCTGTGGCTCCTTTCCTGAATTTCATTCCCCACTCTCTCTATCTCCCTGATTTCCAACTTTATCCACTGTCCTGTCTCTCCATTAAAGGCACACAAAGCCCAGAAATAAATCTCTAATAAAAAATAAAAAATTGGAGCAGGTAAAAATGGAGACGATGGAATTTTTTCATAATTTGGGGAGTTTGTAGACAAACTAGGGACACATATTAATTTTAGAAAAACATGGTGAAGTGTATATAGCATAATATAAAGACCTTTAACTCAGTCACAGAGTGTCAGGAACAATTCATGTGCAATAACCGAGAGACACAAACACCGCATATGCTTGTAAAAAATGTTCTTGACAATCATGGTAATTTGAAAGCACATTATTTCATACTGTTAAATTAAATATTTCCCCCTCTTAAATGCATAATCATTATATTATTTATTTCAGCACCTCAATCCACATTTCATGACTTTTAGTGCAGACTATTTTCTATGTAAGAGGTGACTAATACATCTGTATAAATTAACTGTAATTTGAAAAATAATATCTACATAAATATCTTTTCTGCAAATTATTTTAAGGAAAAATTGCTTCCACGTTTCAGCTATGAAAGCAGGAGAATAACTCCTGAAAGTCCATCCCAAAGAAGCTGTCTCATTTCCAGAAAATAATCTCATACATTTATTTTAACAGTGTTGACCTTAGGAAAGAAACTGTAATTGCATTATAGTTGATTATTTCCTGTGGATTGCAGTTATAAAGTACACTTTAAGTGTTTTATTAAGTTTAACTGTGCAATTAAAACTTAATAACATAAAAACCATAATTTGAATAATCTAATTTGCCTGGCAAGACCTTGATTACCAAGTGCAGTTGTTTGAGAAGAAATGTAATGGTAAATGATGATGAAAGCAATGGTTCTTGAAAAGGCCTACAATGATTGCTCAGATCTATGTTCTTCCTACTATATGTGGGCATGATTATAATGTCAAAAGAATTTAAAAAAAAACGAATGCAAAAAAAAAGTAAAATCTTGAACGTAAAATTAAGAATGAAAGATGTCATGAACATAAACATTCCCTCTGCATTGTTTGGTGTGCAGGGAAGATAAAGTTACATGTATCTGTACATCTGTCTGTATGTGGAACTACAGTCTTGAAAAGAGAAAATAAATCCTGCACACTACTCTTGCTCAGCATAACCATTTATTAGAAAAAGCAACAACCTTTATGTCCCTCTGGACTTTTGTCAAGTGTGCTATGTCTGCACTGTTTAAGATTGCTTCACTATAAAGAATGCTTTCCTAGAGATGCATGCCAAGGTTTGTGTGTACGTTTTTATCCATGCTTTAAGAAGAAATAACTATGTATTTGCTCTACTCTTTATCCTTGTAATGAATTTTTTTTTAGCTACAGAACAACAACCTCTGTTTCATTGTGAAGTATTTTAGGCTCCCTGAGGCCTCAGCAAAACTTAGCTAAAAGGAAATTCTTCCTGACCCAGTTAAAACATTTGCTTACTGCCCAAACACATCAGACACCCCAGTGCTTCCCCAGTGCTCCCAGTACAATGTTCCTCTCTTAAAAGCTGTTTGCTCCCTAAGTCAATCAAAGGAAAGCACACCTTTGTTGTAAAGAATGAGGTAATTACAAAAACTGAAAGGATACTGAGGTCAATGAGCTGCAGTTTATAAACAATACTTTTAATTGGCTTTAATCAACAATAAAAGTTGCATTTTAGGCACGCTTGTCAGACTTAAAGTCCCAGAACGTCCCCTTCTAAGTTGCTGGTATGCAAGCAAGACATAGACAGACTAAAAAAAGCACTGCCCAACCATTAGCAGGACAGCCAAACAAAGCGAAGCGACGCAGTACGAGCTGGCATCAATTTAATGTTACTTTATAATGCTGATAGCAAACGTCTCCGATGGAAGTTGTAAACATGGACATGTGTTTCCACAAAGGGAAGGTGTGGACCTTGTGTATCGTATGGGGCCTAGCGAGCCCATGGGTCCACCTGGCTCTGCTGGTGCACATTGAACTTTCTGCATGACCAAAGCAGTGGGATTGTACAAAACCTGGCAAGTGGCCCTAATCCCATAGAGAAATGCCTGCCCTGTGAACATGACACACAGCAGGCCTCCCTGTGCCCTAACCCACCACTGAGGTCTTGACTCCTCCAGTATGTCTGGTTCATCGTGAGGATTAAGGGAACCGAGTTGTTTGTGCATTGAAGATAAAAAGAACATGTCCTACAAATGACCTACAAGGTGTAATGGCCTCAAGACCTGTTCTCTGCCCAGATTTCTTCTTGAACTACTTTAACAAAAGGATCTTGTTTCAAGCTAACAAGAACAGAGAACTGGCAGAATCCTCAAATAAAGCTCTTTAAGGCATGTTTGGCCTTCACTTTTCTTAACAGAATCTTAAAAATAGTTTATCAATCAATCAAACTTTATTTGTATAGCACTTTTCATCCAACAAATGTATCACAAAGTGCTTTACATCAACATAAATCAAACAGCAACAACATGACTCCCTCCCCCACCCCTATCCCACAATCCAAAAACTAAGGTAAAATAACGAGATAAGAACAGGTACTGAGGAAACGCTATTATTTATTCTAAATGAGGAAACACAGGAGGTTCAAAATGTAATAAAACTAGATGAAATGAGATGTCGTGTGTTTCTACTCACTGACCCTTAAAAAAATTCTACATCTGATCAACAATATGTGATAGCAACATTAACACCATTAAAAGCTATGAACGTGAAGGAGATTCTGTATAAGCAGAAGCATGTGAGAAGATTGAGAAATGTCAGGTTGCTCTGCCACTAGCACCTAGCTGTGGGCACAGGCAAGAAAACTTTGTAATTTCAGTCGTCCCTGACGACAATCTTGCAAAAAACTTGAAATGCTGAGCTAGACTCTTAGAAAATTGCATGGTCCAGTATTTGCCCAATTAGAGCAACTCTCAGTATGAAACAGGTCAATACAAACTGCTTTTCTTCTGATAGCTTTGACTCACTTTGGGTTATTGTCAAAATAAAAGAGTGATTCAATCACAGAATGTTCACAAATCCATTTTAAGGTTGGAATATTAAAGCCTTCTGCAAAAGGGTCATGCAGTTGGCTACAAAGGTAGTAACAACGATAAAGGTGAGTATTGTTGAGAAACTGTTTAAAATCTATGCTGCCCTTTAGAGCATGTAAACCAGAATGTAAATGCAGATGTTTAATTTTCACAACATGAACCTTCTTCAAATGTTATATCATCAAAAGTGGATAAATTCTCCTACTCCCTACTATTAGAAGGGCATACTTATCCAAACGAGCACATACAGGCAAATTCATTGTTCCAAGATGAAAGATGAGAGGCTAAACCATTAGAGCCACATTAAGGGGTGAATCCGGTGATAATGAAACCATGTGATAATGGTGTGCGGCCTTGATAAAACATGTGCCCAATCAAACAGCAAGTTATTATAAATGTGTTGAAGAGACTGTCTCTTTGTTTCTGTCTCTGCAGGAAATGTGTTTGTGGTGAGTTTGGCGTTCGCTGACCTTGTGGTAGCCTTTTACCCCTACCCTTTGGTTCTCTATGCTCTCTTTCATGATGGATGGGCACTGGGAAACACACAATGCATGGTAAGACCTCTTCAGTTTTAAACTTCAGATTAATAGATACAGCGGCCAACAAGGGCAAATCTGTGCAATGGCGCAGAAGATTTTCATAAAAAGAAACAGCATGCAAATAGCAAAGTAATACTAACAAAAATAAACTGGTCAGTAGAAAATATTTGTCAATAAAATAGACCAGTAAATCTTGAGTTTTCTCAGGACTGGAGCGCTTCCATTTTGATGACTGGAAATGCAACAATTTCCTGTTACAATTGTTTTTCAGAATGCATTATTTATGTATTTGCAGTGTGTTTTTATTTAAATGCATGTGTTGCAGCTCCTTGCAATAATTGTTGTTGTTGGGATCTTCTTTCCGATGTTGTATTTGTTTTGAACTAGTTCTATTCTGAATACGCAGCTCATTTCTGGAGGTTTTGCCCTTGTTGGCCATTTAATACCAGAAAACTCTCCATACACATTCTACAATGTCATTACACACTTTCTTTCCTTTCTCCTGTTCAGGTCAGTGGTTTCCTCATGGGGCTGAGCGTCATCGGCTCCATTTTCAACATCACTGGAATTGCAGTGAACAGATACTGCTACATCTGTCACTCATTCTCCTACAGTCGGCTGTACAGCTATCGTAACACTCTGCTGTTTGTTGCCTTAATATGGGTGCTCACAATAGTGGCAATTATCCCCAATTTCTTCGTCGGATCCCTGCGCTACGACCCGCGGGTCTACTCCTGTACCTTTGCCCAGAATGTCAGCAGTTCGTACACGGTGGCTGTAGTGGTGGTCCACTTCCTAGTTCCTATTGCCGTGGTTACCTTCTGTTATCTACGCATCTGGGTGCTTGTGATTCAGGTCAGTCTTCTGCTTTCTTCATGTGGTTATTTGTTTAGAGAAACACCGTAAGAAGTAATGGGGGGACTTTTGGAAAACAATATTAAGATCCAAGTCACCTAAAGGTCTGTAATGTAAAACAAAATGTGTTAAATACAAGTGAAGAATTACCTAAATATATGTTTTAGTTCTGGAGTGATTAAAAACAATTCTGCCACATAAGTCAAATTAATTACGAGTAGAAACTGTAAAATAAAGGTCAAGAAGTGAAATGTCTGGGTAACCTCCAAGGAGTCCTCATGATATTCTCTGCAGAAATACTGTGAGCACATTTTGAGTGAAATAACTTCTGCTGAAAGGCAGTTCAATAGAAATGACAAGTTTGGCTCTACTTTCTTTTATTTGTGTGTTTGTTGAACCAGCTCAGACATTGGTTTTGGCATTTTAAAGAAATCTTAAAGTAATTTGTTGATGTCATTGTAAGATGCTTTGCCAAGTTTTTTATGTTTACCTTGAACTATAAATACTTTTCTAGATTAAGTCATTTTCTGAATGACAGAATACACTGACAGTAAACATCCTGTCATGATAAAAAAAAGACGTTTTTTCCACGTCACATTTAGGTTAAGCATTTTATTCTTTAATAACAAGTAGGTGTCAATTTAAAAACTACCTCTGAACATTGTACAGATGAGAAAATTCAGTGCGTCTGATTTCAGCAGAGATATCATGCATGACAGGCATATAGATGGACAGCATCCCCGGAGTGTTTGAATGTGTGGATGTGTGTGTGGATGTCGCTGTAGGCTATGTGTGGGTTTCTGTTTATTTTGTGTAGGTGTTTAAGATGCAGAGGCAGGGTGAAACATTTGCCTTCTGGCTATTATTACCTTTAAGTTATCTTGTGTTCTCTTATGAACTCTGTCTTCTTCATGTCCAGGTGCGACGTAAGGTAAAGACAGAAGAGAGCCCTCGCCTCAGACCGAGTGACCTGCGTAATTTCATTACCATGTTTGTTGTCTTCGTGTTGTTCGCCATCTGCTGGGCTCCACTAAACCTGATCGGCTTGGCGGTGGCCATAGATCCAACACGTGTAGCTCCCCTCATCCCCGAGTGGCTTTTTGTTGTCAGCTACTTCATGGCCTACTTCAATAGCTGTCTGAACGCCATCATCTATGGCCTTCTCAACAGGAATTTTAGGAACGAGTACAAACGCATCGTCACCTCCGTCTGGGTGACGCGGCTCTTTGTGACAGAGACTTCGCGAGCCGCTACAGACGGCAGGAGCATGAAGAGCAAGCAATCACCACCCCCGCCGCTCAACAACAACGAGTCACTGAGAGATCGCATCAACAAAGAACAAAATCTAGACTCCTAAGTCTGTGAAATGGTTATTACTGTTTTTATGAGACATTCAGACAAGTGGGCAGCTAAAGGAGTATCAAGCAAAAGAGATAAAACTGTAACACATGGCTGGGTTTTCTAATGGATGACATGGTGCGAATTGTTAACATCGAAGAACTTTTTTTAATATAATGGAAAACTGTTTAAAGTTATGTAATAAATACCTATGAGTTGCAAGTTTATTGTTTTTTGCTAAAGTGCTTTGCTTAAGTGTTTAATAAGGAGTTTCCTCTGTGTTGTAAGCATTAACAGAGCCAACGTTTTAGCGATGCTGTGTCCTCAGGAGCCATGCATTGCAGTTTTATTTTGCTCTTACGCTATAAACAACCTGAATGGTACATTCTTAATTCAAGGGGTGAAAAATGCTTTTGTAGACTCCCAGACATATCTCACAACACAAGGTAACCACTGTTAAACACTCACCTCTCTTTAGTAACTATGTAAGCCTCAAAAAGTTAAACCTGCCTCGACTCGACTGAAGAAGAGAAAAGGTAGAAAAGGAGATAAGGTCGATCTGTCTGTTGTGTAAAATACCAGTCTGATGAGATTTTACAAGACGGTGATGTAAGATGGTCTGAACTGACATGTTTACGGAGTGGCAGGATTAGCCACCAGGTCTGACACTCTTGCACTGCAAACAAAAACTTAGTAATGAACTTAGTATCTTTAACCAGGAATTAAAGTAATTGAACTTAGTAAGATTTTTTTTTAAATACGTTTTTGCTTTTTTTAAATCCCAAAACAAATAATTCATGTGATGTAGCAGGTGGAGGACACCAACATTTCTGCTATTGCTGCTGTATCCATCGTTCTGCACAAATCCTCGACTACTCAGCTGCTGTGGTGCATCATCATGTAATGCTATTGCAACTTCACATAAGGAGAGCACAACTCCATACACTCATGTAGACTAGTAGACCAACCTGCAATGACATTAGCTGTTCAGCTTCTCATAGCATAGCAACAGTGCGGCTGCGTGGATGATTCTTTAAGCACACTTACATTTTGCTAGGCAATTTGAAAAAAAGAAAGAAAAAAAAAAAGCAGCAACTGTCACAATCCAAGACATCCGATATCAGTTATATCTGAAAATCATATTCATTTATAATTGAGACAATCCCTAATGCTTTGAACATGCATATTTTAAACAGGTGTCTAACAGATTTAGTATTACTTGTGCTGCCTCACAAAAACAAAAGGAATACAAAGTTGAAGATATTTTCTCAGCTTCTATGTCAGACAACCAATGCCACTTAAAAAAAAGAGAGAGGATAGACACATGTATAGCAGGCAATACAGAATATGAACAGGTTCCTCTGCCTGTTACATCATATGCAGTATGTGGTGCTCTTACACAGTGCCGGTGTCAGTATCAGATGTGCTCGGGTGGTCAGATGTGCTCGGGGTCCTTCGCCTGCGTTTGCATGATGATGTCGCACATTGTGATTGGCTGTACGTCAGAGAGTCGGAGAGAGAGATCAATGTCGACTTATGAAAGATGAAGAACTCAAACACAGCGTCAAAGCTGCCTTAAATGTCGCACGGTTGATGAGAATCCCTCTCTGATCATATTTACATGCCATTGTTCAATGTTTGTAAAGACGCCGCCGACTGGTAACAGACAGTAAACATCGTGTAACATGTTTCACTTGTTTAACATCAAATGTACACTTTGTGCGCTAACTTCTTGTTGTGTCCAAAACACATGACAGTTTTGACTGCTCTTGTATTTCTTAAAAAAAATCTACATAAAGTCATAGAATTCATCACCTATTCTCAGTCAGAAGACCTACAGAAACTACATCTGTAAACTCTCCGACAAACAGCCAATCACAATGTGCTACATCATCAATCAGCCAATCATATTGTGTAACGTCACTATAGCAGACGCAGGACCCCGAGCAGATGTGACCACCTGAGCAGGTCTGGTACCTACACCGGTTCTTACTTGTAACTTTATATTTCTTACTTTATCTTTTCCTTTCATGGGTTGTTTTCTAATTAATGAACTGTATTTGCTAGGGATGTACTGATGCTTTGACTGTGGCAAAATGAACAAAAACAAAAAGAACACAATGTAGGAAGCATTAGGAGTTTTCATGTCACTTGTGGGGTGTTTAATTTGGTAGAAGAGTGACATTCATTGCCTCTTGAATTACGTTTAAAAGAGATGGAGATTGTCGAAAAAAAAGATACAGTTCATATCTGTATTCCCATCTCAGGGTGCCTAGCAAACAATTCATTGCATTACTCAATTTGTCTGAAGCATTTGCAGATAATTGGCTGCCATGTAAGGAAGTCTGAAGACGGCTCAAAGGGATATTTTGTAAATTAATGTCAGTGTGGTTTTTAACTGTGGTATATTGTTATTGGAGGTGTATTCAAAATGTGCTTTTTTTCATTATGAATGAAGCTTCAAAACCCCAAATTAAAAGTTTAATGTTGGGAAATGCTTAAACTCTTCTTCCATTAACTCAACAGAAGTTGCAATGTGCATCTAAAGCAGCTCGCTGAATTGGCCTGTACAATGCATTTCTGCAAACACATTAGTCTTTCAGAGCGGGGTGATGGACACAGCCTTTAAATTGCACATATAGAAAAATACATGAATGGAAAATCAAGATGCTCGTAATAGTTATTTATTTATTTTTTTACATTTAAATGTATTTATCTGGATATGTGTGTTTTCTTATACAGGGTTAAAAGTGTAAAGCCATAGATCAAGAATGGTTTGGATGGAAAGCTCAAAGTCTTACGATGAGAATTTGTAAGAAAACTAAAGCTTTTTTTGGGAGAGGACGTTAGAAATCAGGGGTAACTAACATTTTTGATTCAGATACATTTAGGGAGAGCTGGGGCTGTTCTGACAACAGGTGTCGGAAAGTCATTCAATCCTTGGGGAAACTGTCAGTGCTGTCCAGGTTTAACATATTTTTAAGAAAGGGAGAGCTTAGTAACAAAAAGAGTGACGTTGTAAGGGTAGAAACTATAGCTCAAACATCTGTGTTCAAGACGCACTTGCAGGACAATAAAATACTTTTTCAAACCAAAGAAACAAGCACAGCTGAAGGTAGCTGGGTGTTCAAACTCTTTTTTCAAGTTACTGCTGGAAAAAATCTTCAAAACACCTTGGGTCCTTTAATACTTTTTATTTTCTCATTTAAAAGTACTGCCTTACAGTTAACTCAATAGTGTCAAATTTTGACAACATGGTATGTGCCATACTTTCTCTTAAGACAAGAACCCATTCCACAAAGTGGGTTTGCCTCCATACTGCTTCTTTTCATGTATTTAGGACATTCAGTGTCAAATAGAAGTGCACATGTCGGCTGAAGGGAGGAGACTCAATAGCCAAAACAAAAGAACAAGTATTACCTTGCTCACCATTGTGTTTTACTTCCTTTGTACCCCACTGCAAACTTTTGTAACTTTGTTCATTTATGTTCCCTATGCTTGCTGTATGCACCCTTCACTTTGGGCCTGTTCTCCATGCAAACAAGTCAGACAGCTAGTGTGTCACCTTAAAAGGTTAGAGTTACTGTTTTTCAACCTGCACGTGATTTGAATGCTGTTTCCTGATGTATGCAAGACATTCTTAAAGGCTTGGGTTTTCCACTTTGCTGCAACATCTTACTGGGCTTAGACACAGTTTCTAAATGGTTATCTGGAATAAAAATGGAAGTCGCAAATGATTACCCATTTGTTATGACAGATTTGTTTTGAATATTCTAGCCTTTACAAGATGCTGAATTTAATCATGCCTGCTAGAAAATGTTGAAGAGAGATTTCTTTTTATTATCAGACATATGAATACTTATTGGGGAATTTTCTTTTCTATACCTAAGGCTGAACATCATTTAAGTTCTGGGTGAAAAAATGACAGTGAGCCCAATTTTTACTGTGATTAATCCTGAAGTGTAAATTGGCTATGCAACATATATACTAAAGAGATAAATACAAATCTGCTTTAAAAATAAAACATACCAGGTTATCACAATACTTTTCATTAGAAGATTGAAAAGATAAAGTTTCTGTGGGCCTCTAATCCCTTTGTGTGCTGTATTCTTTGAGGAGACATGCCCTTGAAACTCAGCATGATGCTGTTGGAGTGCTTTTGCAAACTCCCCAGCATCCCCGCACAATACCCATGCAGGGCTGACACTTTTGTACAAGAGGCATTCCCCACTATTTCTTAGTTTCTGAGCTTTTTTTTTTCTTTCTGCTATGTGATCTCTGTTATGGAGAAAAACCAGCATGAGCCAAGCAGCCACTTTGCATTTTAAAGGCTACAGTAAACATGCTTGCTACGATTCGACAGAGGCAGTTTCTGATTCCAGACCATTGCTCACAAAATATCCTCAAATCATTGCAACTTCATTAAGTTAAATGTATTCAATTTGATAAAAAAAAAAAAAAAAATGGCATTCTAATTAAGACTCTTGTTAATCAAGGCCATAGTTTGATTTGAAATACAACGTGGCCTTTTGATCAGTATTACAGTCTGCTCTGCAGGAACCTGGCAGCCTCGGGAGCAGCATTCAAATATTGTCTGTGGCACAGCAGAGACATGCCTGCGTGGCACAATGCAGACTACCCACTTGCTTTTCTTTGAAGTTTTTTATTATAGGCTGAGTGATTATATTATATTCAGGTGGACATAATCACTATTGACCATTGTTTTTACATGTGTGTCATTCATGTGTTATGTAACCGCATGGCAGCATTAACTCGAAGCTAAAGAAGAAACGGATGCACCACTAATCAAATTATATGCGGTGTACCTTCACTGAGATGAAAATAAAATGATAAGCCCCGGGAGCATAATTGAATGCATTTACAGTGTGTTGTTATAGGAAACGCGGTGACAAACCACAGAAAACAAGAGGTTGTTTTTATGCACCATCTGCAGTGTTTACAGAAAATAAACTAATCTACCCAGTCAAAACGGTGACTATGGAAATATTAAAATGTTTGCAAAGCACAAATCCTTTTTGCCTGATAAATATTTACACTCTGTGGCCTCTAAATTGGCTGCAGCTCATTAGAAGAAGGTCACGTCTCTGTCTGCTGACAGCCTGGGTTCTTTGAATTAAATCATAGGGTGGAAGTGAGAATTTCTGTTATTGCTGTAATGTTTATTATTATTGTTTTTTGGTGTACACTCCCCAGGTTTAACAAGAATTAGGAAGATCATTTTGGAATAAAAGCAAGGTTGGATATTGGCAGGAGAAGTTCCATTTGGGGTATTAAGCCAGTTGATTTCTTGTGTCTTGATAAATGTCTTCTTTTATGGAGCTTCTGTGAATGTGCATGCTTGTCTCATGTTTTAATGACTTGTGTTCATTAACAAGAATTCAGTGCAAGCTGCGATGCCCTGCGGACGGTAACACAAGGAACATGAACCAAAGGGAAAACTGTGGAATGTAATGGAATTTGAAATTTCAAACCCCTCAAAAAAGGCTTAGTGGTGACGCTGAGTCTCCTCATAATGAACTGTGTATAAAGACATTCTCATTATGTGTACAGTTCTACTGAAACACGATGTGATGGGAAATAAAATGGATATATCATACTTTGTGATATTTGCTTGTTAATGCATTTGTGGAACCACGCGGCGCACTTCAGAGATGAATCCTTGTATCTTTCTTCTCAGTATTTCATGAATCAAC